TGCTTTTCTCTCTTTTGCTTTCTAGCTGACCGGCCTGACGGAGCCAGGCAGCAGTTACCATAACGCACAGCACTCTGCTGTGCCCAAGCTGGCAGGCCAAGCATAGCCCTGAGCAACTTAAATGCAATAAAAGGGATTTTGTCTTCCGACGACCAGCTTGAAGAAAACAAGAGTAGCCCAGTCAGAGCTCGCTGGAGCAAACACAGACGGAGCTGCTGTCGAGCAGTGGGTAATTGCACTGGTTGCACGCCATCCGCCCCGCCTGCGCCACCGAGCAACTCGTGTGTACCAAGTGACAAATGATGCATTCTCCTTTCTTCTCCTCCCTCCCCAGTTCTTCTTCTTTAAGAAGAAACAGACTTGGATTTCAGGAATTAACTCTGAGATCTGCCTCAAATTATTTTGTCCCAGTAAGACTTCAAGCAAAGGCATTTCCCCTAAAAATGTCAACGGAATGTATTTGCATTCATATGGTGAGAGGCATTTATTATTGTAACCAGCCTGCAGAAGGCAGTTCTAGCAGTTTATCTAATTTAAGAAAAAGCAGAAACTGATGGACCGAGCTGGATCCATGGCCATGAAGTCCAATGTACAGTTTGCAGCAGTGACCACTGCCAGCGACTTCAAAGGAAAGAGTAAGGAACTTGGCATCAGGCTGTTATAGCGTGGCCAGTCTGTATCTGGGATCCTCTTCTAGCAGTTAGAACATGTTAAAAAATAAAGCACATTGCACCCGAGAGGCAGGGCTGGAGAGGACATCAAGAAATAATTTTGTTCACATCAACCTCTGTCAAGTATTCCCAGCAGACACTGGTCTATCTTGCCTCTAAAATCTTCATTGACAAATATTCCCTAACTCCTTTACAGTGCTTTCTTTCAATTCTCCACTTTCATTAAGGTCCAGATTTGTAGAAAAATAGAGATGGGAAGGGACCTCTGGAGGTCCATGCACCGCTCAAAGCAGGCCCATGCACCACTCAAAGAAGGCCCAATTCAGAGCAGGTCGCTCAAGAACCTGTTCAGTTGAGCTCTGAACGTCTCCAAGATTCCAGTTCTTCTCTGGACAATCTCTTGGACAACAATATTTGACCATTATCGTGGTGAAAAAGTTTTTCTTAATATATAGTTGGAATTTCCCTTCTTGCAACTTCTCATCTATTGCTTCTTGTCCTTTTGCTGTGCACCTCTGTGGTGGGTTGACCTCGGCCGGCCAACGGGTGCCCATATGTCTGGGCTCATCAGGTAGCTGCAGACAGCGGTAAGATCCCCCCCTCGCTTTCTCTTCTCCATCCTGAACACGCCTGGCTCCCAGCTTCTCCTCGTATGTCATGTGCTACAGCCACCAACCGTCCCAGTGGTCTCTGCCGGGCTTGCGCCGACATGTGCACGTCTTTCCTGTGCTGTGGAGCCCCAAAGCAGACACAGTACCGCTGCCACGGGCTCACCAGCTCTGAACAGAGGAGGAAAGTCGCGCCCGTTGGCCAGGGACCCTCTCTCTGCCGGCTGCCCTGTTGCCAGAGGTGGGCTGCTTTGCTGCGCAGGCATGGTTCTGCTCCTGCTGTCCACCAGGATGGCCGGGTCCTCTCCTGCAGAGCTGCCTGCCCCCCCTGCGTGGGGCCGTGTGCGACTTCGTCGTAACTGTCAGCTCGTGTCTCCAGCCTGGCAAGGACTCTCACGCAGCTGCAGTGACCGACTGACACCTGGTACCTGTTTCAGAAGTTCCTGAAGTTTGTGGATTGTGAACTGCTCTGACTCCAACGTCTCTGCTATAAAGAGCCACGCCATGAGGGACCTTCAGCGGCAAAGGCTGATGCAAACGACGCGTTGGGCTCCTTTGCTACGGTCTTTTCATTCCTGACCTGGCCACCAAAACCTCGCACTGATTCCCTAGTTAGATTCCTACTTTTGATGGTATTGAAAATCTTTTTACCATAGACTTCAGCATCGCTTGTGAAGTGCTCTTCAAAGTCTTTTCCTGCCTCTGAATCTCCTGTTAACATTTAACCAGTCCTGTTCATAGCCCTTCTTTTTCTCTCCATTTGGGCAAGCTCTGCATTTCTTTAGTGCCATCCTTTCCTTGGGACATCCTCCTTAGCTTTCTCACTGACCCATGAAAAGAGGTTTTGTATGGTTTTGTTTTCTTTTTCAGTTTTGACACACAGATCTCCTGAGCCGCTAACACAGGATTTTAACAGATCCCAGGCAGCTTACAGGCCTCCTGCTTTTTGGACTGATCCTTTTAGGATTTTTTCCTAATTGTTTCATTTTTGCATAGTTCCCTTTCTGGAAACGGAATACCCGCACGCTGGATTTACTCGGCGTGCTCTCTCCTGCTGTTGAAGGAAAGTGTGCGACGGTTACCACTACGGACCAGCTGGCACCGTTCACACCACTCAAACTCGTCCTGCACCATCCAGGACCAAATCCAGGATGGCATCTTTTTTGTGGATTCTAAAACTAGTGGCTCCAAGAAGCATCACTGATCGCATTCCAACGTGTTTCCAAGTCTCCCTCTGAAAAGGCGTTGATTTAGTCGCTATGTGGGTACCTGAAATCTCCAACTGTTACTCACCTGTCCAAAAGTCACGGCTTGTCTCACCTCACTTAACATTTCCTCATCACTACTATTTCTTTTCTATTATCAAGAATTTGGAATTTCCACCCACAAGGATTCTGCAGTTCTTCTCTCTTTCCGTAATATTTTTACACTGTTAAACTGCGTATTTCCTCTCTGTACGACACCGTTCCCTTGCCTGCACGTCCTACTGCATCATCCCCGTCATGCTGGAGCCTGGCCACCATATACTCCATGAACATCTTTCTCCTGCTGGATCTCTGAGATGGTTATTTATTGTATTGGGGTTTTCATGTTCCCCATTTTAATTCCATATGGGAAGAAAAAAATTGTTCCTTTTTTTCTGTTTGTTTGTTTTGAATTTCCCAGCCTCTAATTTCCTCCCGTCGCTGCGTTTTAACCCTCAGAAGCGAGCCCCGCAGACACGGCACACCGTCCCAGAGCTCAGCAGGATGTTCCTCCAGCGAGTTGCAATGGCCAACCTGGACACCAGTCATACCAAGTGCTGGCTTGGGAAGGGGGATCTCCCGTTGGCAAGAAATAATTAGAACCTGCCATGAAGCAGAGCGTTCGGAAGGGGGCCCTTCAACTTGGATTCCTTCAGAATATGAAAAATATAGCCATTTCAGCTGATTAGTGGTAGGACTGTGAATAAACAGCGGACCCAGTGAATAACCTTTAGATTCCTTGCTGCTGAGCTTCGGTCGCAATGGAAACACATTATTATTAGGCTGACATCCTTTCTCTACCACACTTCAGTCCCTGGTGGCCCTTTGACATCTATCCTACGACGTAACTTAATTGATGAAAAGAAAGCAGTAATTTGTCAAAGGTCTTTGGAAAGTCTCATGAAACGCTAACCGCTGCTTTCTTTACATCCAACTAAGCCACTTCATTTTTGACCTCTTTCAGAACTACGTAGTACACACAAACAGGGTGAGGTGATTTACAGATTTTTAAATGATCAGGTTCTTTCAGAACCAATATTGTGACTCTCCAGTTTTCATAATGTTTCTTTGTTACTACCAGAAAAAGTCAAGTCATGAGTAAGAATTCTTCCACCATCTTCCAGAGGGAAAGTGATTCAGCACTTCTAGTATCTCAACAACTTCAATTTTATATGAAGATTACATAGAAATCCCCTCCTTTTCCATCTAAACCAGAAAGTTTGCACTGGTTTGCTCTAATATTTCAACATGAACATAGTTCTAGAGAACTGAATGACTTCAGAAATGCAAATATACTATTTGACAGAGCTAATGGGAACTGACAGTTAAAAACGTTTAAAAAGCATGGTTCTTTTTCCTTGAAGTTTTACAGAAGGGCAGTACCTGGTCACATCCGCACGACAAAGCCAGATTACTGGTTGAACACACACTGAAGGAAATTGTGAGGACGCATGAGCCCACCTTGCTGGGGAGGGACTTGACAGTATTTCTACAACAAATATGTAATGAAGAGGTGATGAGGACACTGTTGTTAAGTGTCACTAGCCATGCTAACGGGTGGCAGGGCACACATTCTGCCGTAGCGCTGAGATACTTAGGAGAGGTCCTTGCTGCTGCTGGAGGCTGTGGAAGACCAGGACTGTATCTGAAACGGCGTATGGATAATAACGTGTTTCGCAATAGCGATCCCATAGAGCAGCAACGAGGGGCGATGGCGTGGTCTGTCCGGCGCCGTTCCCAGGCCGAAGGACCTTGGGCAGACAGCAAGTGTAGCCGCGTTTCTGAACACGTGTGAAGCCGCGGACTGGGTGGAAATGTTGTAAAATGGCAGCCGAGACCAGGGGGAGATCCCCCCTGCTCAGGAAGGAGGAAGGTTTTTCCTGCAAACGCTGCTCTCCGTTGGTACGGACAGCGCAGCAGACAGGCAGGTACCTCCCCAGCCAGCCTGCAATTATTCCATTGAATTTCAGTCAACTCTTCATTGCCACGATCTCCTGCAGCAATTTGCTCTTAAAGCAGTATTTATTTTTACCAATTTAAAAGCGGGTGTTTCCTTTAGTTTCTTCTAAGAGACTGCAAACATAAAAAAGACCTTCCTGTCTCTCTCTCAGGCTCCTTCCCTCTGGAATAAATATATTCCATAACATTTGTCCCATGGCTTGTTTTCCTCAGGTATCTAAGTATTTATCTCTTCTCTGGACTAAGTAGGACTAATCTGCTTATTCTCTTGCCTCCTCTGACCTCATTTCTAATAATTCGTGTTGTCGTTTCCCGTTTCCCTGCTCTTCCCCCGCTGCCCAAGAACGCAGTATATTTCTGCTGAAAATGAGGAAAGCGTGCTGCTCTCACATCAGCTGAACAAACAAAAAATGACAATTTCACGCAGCTATTAGCAGTGAGCTACTAATGAGACTCTGAAAAAAACCCCCCACCTTCCATATTGCATGGTCGGTAAAGAGGGATGAATATTCACTTACTGCATTTCCAGCTTCAGCAGCCAGCCGGGCGGCGTATCTGGCAATCAGCCGGTGCTCCTCGTCCAGCCTGCCGGGGCTGTCCAGGACGCTGCCGGGGAAAAGCCAAAACACCCCGTCAATACCCGCCGCCTCTCGATATTACTCATACCGGGGGCTGACAGGGAAAAGGATGTATTATTGCAAAGAGACAGTCATGGGAAGTAGAAGAGTCACGCTGGAAATAATCTAGATCATTCCCTTTTTTGTTCCGCTGCCGAAGGGGGGACTGCTCTCAAGGCTTCCTGCCCAGTAGCATTTTCTCCAGGATTCACGTATTCCAGTGTGAAATGATTAAAACGATTTGTTTTCCACGATTCATAACTACATATCACTAGGAACAAACATAATTTGCTTCTGAGGCACTTTTCTGCAAAACCCTTTTGGTTTACTCAAGGTAAAAGGGGGCAAATAGGTGAATGATGGAGAAGAGCTTTGTTCTCAGGAGATGTAGGACGACAAGTGTCAAAGTCAGGATGACTTCCAGGAGGAAGAGCGGGGGGAACCATGCTGACCTGAAAACAGACTCTGTCCCTGAACAGCATCAACTTAAATGCAAATAGTGCTTTGGAAGTCAGCCTGACTTACACCTGACTTACTACCGCCTTACAACACCCGAACGTACAAGACGTGGTAAGTTGAGGCTTGGTCCTTCCCACCTCAGCTAGCGGAGGATGAAACAGCTCCAGCTGCCTGGCACTGCCTCACGCACACAGCCGGTGGCTGTCCTGAAAGTCTTGCTGGAAGGGTATTAAAAATATCGCCGATAATCATCAGCAACAGTGACAGCACCACGAGGTGGGAGAAGAAAGGGACGCTGAGCTGTGAAACAGGAGAAGTAGAGACAGCGAAGGCGACAGACCCCATGATCAGGGCATGAAGGGCAACACCGGGAGCTTTCTCATATTAAACACCAGCACCGTCCCCTCTGTGCGTGTTAATCATTAACGTGATTAATCCAGTCTGGGAATCAGTTTCCAGCCTTCACAAATAATTGTCTTTTCAACTATAAACACACGGGGGGACAAACGATGGCTTTCAAGCTGTGTTAATTGGAACCAGCCAACGCTAAGGTCTAGCACCAGCTCTGCGTCGGTGGCACAGTGGCCGTGCCACAAAGAATCGGCAGGGAAAGCCAAATGAAAGAGCAACTTTTGAAGTCAACATCCAACCCAATTTTTCAATAGCTGTTTGTTGTCTCACTGCCGCAGAAAGATTTCTCATCACGGTCTCCCTTTACACAAGGGAAGCCACTGAATCAGTTAGTTAAACCAGGCCATTACTGACCGAAACCGGCCAGGATTAGTGTGGAAACCAGCAAAGTGCTTCATGTTGCAACGCAGCCTTCCTAGTGCCATCCTTCGTGTTCCGCGGGGACTCACAAACACATTGGCTGCGGCAGAGAACACAGCGCTGCGCCCGCACGTGCTTACGGTGACACTCGGCATCGGGACCACGCCACGGGCAGTAGCACAGAACGGGACACATGCCTCGTGCACAGCAAGCGCTACTTTTAGTCCACGTTACCACCTCACAAGATAATTTACATTTCTTTAAGCTTAATTTCACAGATTTCTGTTTACATTATTTAAATTTCACAGATTTATG